GAGCCCCGGGCTGGGGCACAGCCGAGCGCGGCTCGTACCTGTGCTGGAGCCGCTCCGAGCTCCGGGGCCGCCGTCTGCCCGACACCGCAGCTTCCTTCCCGGCCAGCCCGACGGGGCGCGGCCGCCGCTCTTTAAAGCCGAGCTGAGGGCGGGGCGGCTTATGGCTTCGTTTGGAACATTCAGCGGGTCAGGAGGGGAGCCGGAGCTCGGAGTGGGAGCAATCTTGTACTCAAACCAGTCACAGAAGCAACGAGTTCATGAATTACCCAGCCCGCGGTAGCTGCTTCTGGGCATTTCGACAGGCGGGTGTCAGCCTGGCTAGTCTAAGGTGCGGATGAAACAGCGGAAAGCCGGCGGGCGTCCAGCGACCTCGGAGGTTGCCCGCCTTTTACCCTTAAGATGAGTAAAACGGAGATCTTTCCCTTAATTCAAACCCATGGAACTGCACTATAGAGGTATTCTCCTTCTATTTAAACATGAAAGTAATGGAAAACAATGATTTCCCGCCTACTGAGACACCAAAAATCATGAAAAATGTGTGCTTTCCTTCAGCTGAGACCCTTCGAAGCGTATGTGAAGTGGGGTCCTCCCCAGTTCAAATACAGTTACCGAAAACACGATTTTCTCCATTTTAAATGCCTTTTCTTCTCGTAACCCTACTTTCTTTTCTTTTGTTTGGAGGGTGGTAGGCGCACTGTGGGGTGACTGGGGGCACTTCTCCCTCCCCGCTGGTCACACCTGGGGCTGCTGCACCTTGCCGGGTGCTGGGGAGTTTCCTCCCAGTCCCCTCGCACTATCCCTCTTCCTGGCAAGCACCGCCAGGGATGGGGAGAGCACTGGGAAGGAACTGGGAGCACTGCACCTTCCCAGTGCTCCCAATCCCCCTGCCAGTGCTCCTTCCTGTTCACTCCCGCTGCTTCCACTAGCCCTCCCACTTCCCTCCTACCATTCCCTGTGCTCCCACTTCCCTCCCAGTGCTCCCACCGCCGGCAAAACACTGCGGGGCACTGCGTGCTCTGGTCTTGAAGAGGCAGGACTTGAGCTGGTACAAGGGAAATCCCGACTTGGGAAAAGCATTCCCTGCAGAGACCTCCTGGAGGAAGGGGTCTCCCCTTCTTCTGACCCTAGAGGGAGCTGAGTCTCCAGTGTGAACTCCAAGACGTTCCAGCTCCGAGTCCGGCTGACAGAAACGTTATTATCCCCACTTCCAGCACAAGACTCAGACCTCACACGTCTGAGGGCGGCAGCGCAGATTCAATAATTGATGCTCCTGGGTACTGTGCTCTCTCTGAACCACACGCAATCACAGGGGAACAAAACCCTTATCGAGGATGGGTTACTCTTCCTGGCACCAGAAGAGAAGGAGAAATCTGACAGGAATATTCTTCATCATTCTTCCCGGGCTTTGTCAAACGCTCCAGCTCCTGCACTTCGGGAAATAACGAGTGGCTTGTAAGAAGTGACTTGGATGTCAGTGAGCACGTTATTATGGATTAATCTCACACTGGAAAACAGTCTTCATAGCCTAACTGCTCTTTGCATCACCTAAGGAGTTTGACAAGGAAGACACAACTCAGGAGCTCATTTGGCAGCAGCCTGCAATCTCATCAGCCCCTTGTTCGGTTGTAAATACGTCAACGAAATGCAGCGACTGGGCATTGGCCAAGTGCCTCAGGACTAGCACATCTCTTCCAAAGGAAGGAAAAGAAGAGTATTTCTTCCAAACCACTAAGTTAAAAAGCTCGTGTTATCTAGATATATTTTTAAGAGGAAGAGGAAATCATCAATTCCTGTGCCAGTGGTGGTCCACTCTTCTTCTGTTCTCTTCTTTCGCTTATAGCATCTCTAAGAATACTTAAAAGAAAACGAACATTGAATTTAAGCTGAACGACAAGCAATCAGCTTGCAGACTTGTGGCGTTGCGTTGCCTGAGTTCCAACAAGGGAGCTCATCCCCTCTGCACTTCTGAGACAGATCCAAAGTCCTGAGCATCAGCTTTTAGGGTTTGTTTGGTTTTTTTTTTCAATTGAACTGTAAGAAAAGCCGCTGGGGAGGGCCATGCTCCAGGCACATCCATGGGATTTCATCTGTACGGCTCTCTAAGCTCAACTCGTTTCTTTTCCTCTACTTGCTGGGTATGACTCATATCTCTTGAGGGGATAGCCCTGCACTGATCAGAGCATATCTTGAGCGTTCACATAAACAACTTCTGACAGTGTGCATCTATCCTAAATCTATCCAAAATTTCCAAAGCAATTCAAGTACCTTAATGTCACATACCCAAAATGGCTTTTAGAGAAACCTGGTTTAATACACTCCATATCTAAACAACTTAGTGAACAACGCTCCTTCATTCCCTGCCAGGTTTATTCTTTGACCCTTGGACAAAGGCTTTAAAGCAGCACAGAGCTCGTGAAGCACCAACAACTTCATCAAAACTTCCAATCCATAGCATGGGCTGAGCCTGAGTTTAAAACGGCATTCAAAAGCAGTTGCATTGCCAATTGGCAAGATGAGAAATATTCCTTAGCAGTTGTTGAGATGACAAAGTAAGGGAGAGGACGGAGCATGGAGTGGGGGAAAGAAGGAGGAAACCTTCATTTGCACTGTGGGGTTTTAACCATCATGGTCACATCTCAAGGACTTGTAGAAAGCATTGTAATCTCAGGAAAGGAAAGGAAAAGC